GCGCTTTTATCTGTTGGAATAGATATACGATCGAGAGCTGCTTGGAGAGCGGAGGTGTTGTTTATCGTGAGCCGGGTATGTGGTATCAAGTCCTCTCTATCTTCGTCATCGAGATCTTCGAGATCCGAAATTGGAATATCTTCCTCGTCCTCTTCACTGTCATCGTCTACCTCCTCTTCGTCTTCTTGTTTCGAGTTGTCGTTGGTTTTCTGTCCGGATGCGTGCATGACTTTTTCCTCCATCTCGATTTCTGAACCGGAAGTATCTGTCTCGTCTACGGCTCCTATATTTATCTACGAATTGTGTCAGCCCTGCAGTCGGTCAACAGTACGCTTTGATACAGCTAAATCACAAACCTCTTCAATGTCATCGCCTTCACTCTCAACATCAACATTACCGTCAAGCTCATCGTCATCACCGTCGCCTTCGTCGCGCCGAACTGCTAGGACCCCGCCACGCTCTGCGGCCGAACCCTTGCGTTTCAGGTTCTCCTTGTGCTTCTTTTTTTCTTTTAACTTCTTAAAATCAATGCCCTTTTCTGCGGCAATTGCCAAGCGCAGTCTGCTTTTGGTCACCATGTCTTGTGTGCTTTTGTCGTGACGGGTTGATAAGTGGAAAAAAAGTCCTGGCGTTTTGAGTGGTACCAACTGGCTTGTCAGCCAAAAATTCCCATTCATTACTGGAAAAACTTACAAAATTCTGCCGCGCCATGTCTCACCGCCTAGACGAGTGACCCACCCAGTACCTACCACTACAGTGCATGAGTCAGTCTTTGAAGTTTGGGCGCCTCGGGATCTACCCTAAGGTGGCAAGGGGTCTGGTCTATGTATTTTTGTGACTGTCATCACATACCAGACTTCGCTATTACAAGGCAGCTTATCAGACTTTTCTACCAACACATGATTATTTTTAGCTGTGTTGAGGGAGCTCTGCTGCTCCGCAAAAACAAGGGCCGCGCGTGAAGTTAGATAACTTTCTACGGGTTGGAACTGGATCCGAAGCTGGATAGTAGCTGTACTCGTGCTTTGTAGCGCCAACTGGCCCGATGCTTTCAACGTTGCTGCCCGCCAACATTAGAAGGTAACCAAGTACTTAATTAAGTACATACCTAGGTATGTAGGTACCCAGGCCGGGTAGGTAGGGGGGGTTTGCCTGGACATGGAGTTGTCGGCGGGTTGACATAACACTTGAGGTTTAAATACCTACTAGTACCTGTTGCATGCGACCAGTGACCTCTCTAGGTAGGTAGGTAGGTAGGTACTAAAATAGGCGCATCCGGACAAGCGCGTGTCGTAGAACAACCAACACGAAAATGCTGTGTCACCCACGTGTGCGCAAAGCGCAGTGCTGTGATAGGCCTGAGCCCGTGGACTTTGCTGCCTAGTTTTAAGATCCCTTTGTTTGGTTGATTACGGCAAGAAAGCTCCGTGGATGCCATAATACATGCTTTCAATGTTCCTTCAACGTTTGATATCGGTACAATGTCACAAGCACATATTGTTTTTGGTACGATCTGTAGACTTTACACATGGCCTTCATTTATAATTATAGAAAATACATGTAAAAAAACACTCCCGGTGATAAATATGCTGTGGCATACTTTTGCGGGAGGCCACTCTTCAGCCACTGACTGGATCTTATATCGACCAGGTGGCGATGAATCTTAAAACAACATCCGAATAACGATTTCCTGTCGTTTTCGAGGCCCGCGGGTTCGTAAAAGAAAAGAACGGGATTAAAACAATGATCCCGTGCCATGCGTATCCGTCATAACTCATTTACACTTGTATCCTCCTCTATCCTTCTTGAGCGTTTTTTGTTTCGGTGTAATCGGCAGTCAACTCCGCCTCCTTTTTAAGTTCGAAGAGACGCATTTAGGACCGTAAATGTGTGCTTTGGCTGGAAATTTACATGATAGTGCAGCCCTGGTAGCCTCCAGATCGGGCGAGTTCCTCGCTCTTATCAGAGGTCTTGGCGTTTCTGGTGGAAGGCATGTTGAAATTTGTTTGAGGTATTTGGAATGATACCAAGAGAAAGAGCTTGTATCGTTGTATTTCAAGATGTAGAGTATATTTGTGTAAGATTCTGGAGACTCAATACAGGAATCCCTTCAGTACTTATATACCCGGGGGCTCGTGTGTTTCTGCCTTTGTTTCCCCGGGTTTCTGAGAGTCTACTGTCGTCGAGGTGGATATGCCGCTCATACTATTCACAGACTATTACTATCTATATGGTTGGTGCTTCATATTGTTGTTCCTCATTGTTCGACAAGCAATCACAGGGCCGAGGATGATAGTAGCCCCAGTTTGAACATTTCCACCGAACTGTGGTCAATGCAACCCAATAGTCTCCGTACTAGCCACTCATCATGGTGCAAGCCTTGTTTTCTGTTGTCCTATTATTCTAGACGACGGGTATGCGGTGGTACACTGCTGGTCTGGCAGCCCTCATATGTACTGTACCAATTCAGTAGGTATGCACTTACAGATCGGCCGAGGTATCGAGACAATGAAGTCTACAATTCGTTTGCGTCAATGCGATGCTGTGCCATGGCGCTAGGTCCAGCCTTGTGGGGAAACCTCATTGTCCTTGTTAGTATTGTCTCTGCGCGCCACGCAACTCTGGAGTATTACCACCAGACGCGAATTCTGGTGCTGGGCTGCCGTGCCCTCTATGCATGTGATAAATGCTGTCATCAATGTAGCAATTTGCATACAACACCGTGAGACATATTATTCTGTAACACCCGGTATAGTTTGATCTTTGAAGTTTCCCCGGACACACATGATCCCCGGTGCCTTGCGAGATGGTTGGATGACGCTAGATCGCTTGTCGGCTTGCTGGTATGATGGCAGAATGCAGTATTAGTCTTGAAGGATTCACAGGGTGCCCACATGACCCGTGTTGCATGGAGCCTCTTGCATTCACGCATCTGCATTGTTCCTGGTGTCTTGACAGATAAACTCGGAGGCCCTGGAGTGGCCGTCCATGCTCTCCCCGCAACCTCCTCGCTCATGATAATCGACATATGAGGTCTCCAGGATATTGGCAAAAATGGAAAGCCCAATGTCTAGCCCTGAGATGTTATCCACTCTATTCTCCAGCAACTCACGGTAGCCAAGATTCAGTAGTCGTGGCCAAAGTATACTTGGAAAGGCTCTACCACAATTCCAGAGCAAGAGTTTGGTAGGTCGTATAGCCCATCTTTGAGTGTGGTAGAGGATAGCTGAACAAGATATACGTATACATCTGTATACACTGTTCCTCGTTGGAACCCTGTCCAGAGTGGCGTAATCAGTGCTAACAATGCCTGCGGTTCGGTTTGCCAAGCCACCCTGGCTGTAGCTCGGAGCCCCTGTTTGCCCGAACTAGGAAGCCCGATGCCTTGTTCACCAATGGCACTGCATGAGACCGAAAATCAACAGTAGTATGGCCAAAGAGACAGTGACACTGAACCTAATGCTCTCTTGTAACACTTGGCTGTGACCTTGTTGACTGGCTCCCGAGGAACTGAGGCTTAGCTTGCGTCGTATGGCCGCTTCTGGGAGGCTCAAATATATCTATCAAATCATGAACAGCATTGTCTTATTTCCAAGTTGACCAGCTATTTCTATTGAGACAATTCGTGAGAATGGCGCAATATAGTCTTCGATATCACAGAACTTAAATTCTAAAATGGACCGGGCTGTCCAAGGAGGGTGACGGTTTTGCAAACTACAGGACAAATCCTCATACAAAGCGCTGCAGTAGCCTGCCTCTAGGTAGAATTGAAACTATTGAATCAAAGTGAGAGAATACTAATAGCTTCTGTCAAGAAGTTGCGTTGCTTTGTGCATTCGAGAATGATTGTTGATTTTTCTGATCATGCAAGTCGACATTCGCCTCCATCAGTTGTTAGCTGCTGCGGGAGCAACAGAAGCAAAAGTCGCTTAACATCTATCATGGCCGAATGACTGGACGAAAACAGATATTGTACGTAGGTTTGTGAAATTCACGTTTGTGATGGTAATGTTTGACGTTTCGGGCTCCGGTAGCTCAATATCCATGTCAGTGCTAATTCTTATCCATTTGAGTGTGCGCAGGTGCCTTTTTGGTATCGACCAAGAATGTTAACCAATTAGAGATATGAGATTAAAAGATACTTAATTCACTTAATGATTCCATATGATAAAGAAAGTACCTCATTTACGAAAAAGCTACAAGCATATAAGAGGCCATTCTATAACGAAAGATGTACTTAGCAAGTATTAGAGAAAAGTGGAGTATATACATAACAAAGGGATGTGGAGAACAAGCAATAGGAGAGACGTAATTGTTAGGAACGTCAAGCCAGAGCGCTCAATAAAGACATTCCGATGAAAGATTAAATACTACTTCTATAATAGCGTTCAACGTTCTACTCAACTCGGCTAGAGATCAATATTTTATATCAACGTCACGCGGTTCATTTGTTGTAACATAGGTACGTAGCTATTTCTGCAGGTGCCCCTAGTATTTCGGTAAAATGGTGCACGGATTTACACGGGAAGTGGGGCTGATACAGTGGACCCCGATGGACACAGGTTGTGGCCATGCGAAAAAAAAAAAGTCTCATGATGTGGGGGACTCAACACCGCGGATGGAAAATATCTACAAGCAGCTTGCTTGTTCGACAAATTCCTCCATGAAAAGATCACGCTAAGCGCAACCAACTCAATCAAGGTCCTGGTGTTTGGAGAATCGTGCGGTGTTATCTCGTCGGCTAGCCCACGATGCCTCACAAACACAGGAGAAAGAGAGGCGAAGACGACAAGTATGTCTATTTAGTCATGTTTGGACGTATCGCATGCAGTGATGGCAGCTAATTTGTTCTTAGCTTCGACCTGCCTCCATCCCAGAGAGCTCTGCCACTCTCAGTATCATCCAGGAGTCAAAATAGGTCAACGACGGACCATCCGAAGCAAAAGAAACACCGGACACATCGAAAAGGCAACGATGCCCCTCGAGCATTCAAGCGTATTATGGCATTTTCTCAAGGTAAAAGATTGAGACCTGGGCTCGACAATGGAGATTCCGCCCGAAACGGCCCTAAAAATTCAGGAACTCCGGTCGAAGTTCCGCGCATTAAGCCTGGGGAAGATATGAGATCATTTTCTGCCCGAGTGGACACCGCATTGCCAGTAGCTGGCCTTACAAAGAAGACAAAGACCAAGGACGGCAAAGATTCACTTGGCATCAAGGTACAACGCACACGCAAGGAGCGGAAGATGCACAAGCTCTACGATCAGTGGCGGGCCGAGGAACGCAAAATACAAGAGCAGAAAGAGGAAGAACGCGAGTTGGCAGCAGAAAGAGAATTAGAAAATGACTACGATGACTTGTTTACTGACAGCGCTTGGACGGAGGCCGGCGAGGAAACGGGCAATAAGAAGTCTCGGAAAAGAAAGGGCAAGGGACGAGAGGAAGATCCTTGGATAGAGTTGGTTCGTAAGAGGGGCGAGGCCAGGATTGGTCTTCATGATGTCGCCCAAGCACCGCCAGAGCTCCATCACAAAAAGACGAGAAAACAACTCGAAGTAGGAGGCGCGACTGTTGATGTTGACAGTATCCCCAAGTCTGCGGGAAGCCTGCGAAGACGAGAGGAGCTCCAGACAGCCAGGGATGACGTGGTAGAGGCGTATAGGAAGATAAGGGAACATGAACAGGCCAAGCTTGATGCCCAGCGAGGGAAATCTAAGAGATAGAACACCGCTGGTAAAATATGAACTGATGACTCTTGTCCTCAAATCCTGCCATCTAATGAGTGATGGAATCGGTGGCTGCATACCCAGTCCTGGGTACATTAATGACAATGAAGACGAGCCCGTTCAAATACTGCCTATGTTGTCTTGTCCAAATAGTAAGATGCACAGATAATCTTACCGACAAGATTCCGGCATACAATGGTCATAACATCAGCTACCAAAGTATTTTAAGCGTATACCTGGCCAAGGTGACATATATCCTGCCGGACGCGGAATCTGAATGGGTACTTTCTTCGGTCGTGATTATGTCATTGCCAGGGCCGCCTCCTGCAATCACATCCTTTTCTCTCCACTGTGTGAAAAAGGCTAGCGCATGTCGACGCGTGGCGGCGACAGATTGACAGTATTAAACCTCCCCCCCCCCACCACAAATAAAAATATGCATCCACTTTTTCGCAGAAAGTCTGGGATGGTCGCATGTTCAACTCCCGGACAACACAATCAGAAACTTCAATAATCATTTTTTTTTACGTCTTATCAACTTAAACTGCGTTCTCAGCATGAGAACACCCGCAGGTCGGTCAGCATGGCTTGGGACCTTGAGGGGCTAATTTCTCACCTATTGATAATCATATCTTGTGCTGGTGAAGAAGGTACGGTCACATCTACAGCTCAGTCGAAATTTTCCAACCTTCATGCATCGGCTCTCGCCCGAGGAAGCGGAGAATTACTCGTTAGGAAAGCTACCATACAGTTCATACTTGCTGATTCATACTTTCTTTAGGCTGTGCAGTTAGCGATATTATAAAAGAAATTCGTGGCTCTGCTGGCTTTTCTGGGTCCCGGACTCGAGGCCCTGGAGAAGCACTTTCAGCACATGCGGTTGCGACTATTTGGGGCTGGCTAGTCGCAAGAAGTGACGTATCCGTGGGACCTAACAGGAGGCACAATGATCGTCCTGTGCATGAGGTGTTGGCTTTGATCAGGAAGGTGTCCGAAGGAGGTAGTGGTTCCGATGGGACTTCAGGCCAGGGCCAAGAACCGACATATTCGGAGTTGACATCGAGCAACGTATCAAGTCTACAGGCATTTTCTGTGGAGCGAATTTATGTCTCCGAAGATACCATGTGGGAGACGATCACTGGCCATTCAGTAAACTACAAGAGAGTTCCCCGTTCTGAGTGGCTACTACTTCTGGGCATCGCTTCGACCAAGGACCAAGGCATATTGCAAGGCGATCTGGGTCGTCTTGTCGACCAAGACAAGCGATCTGTTCCGAAGCGTACAGACTCGTTGGTTAAAAAGGGATATATCGTGAAAAGGACAACGCTTGTCAGGGGCACGAAGACCAGCAAGCTTTGGCTCAAATCGTTTGCTCCCCCGCTTCCAAAGGAAACCGACGACCAAGCTTTCGAACGAAAGGCAGAAATGAATCTTTCTCGTCACACTTTGGCAGCTAATCTTGAACAAGTCCCGTGGCACACGCGTTGGACTGGCGAATCCATGGATTTCCACGCCCTGGCCACCACTATTATGGCCACCACAAAAGAATGGCAGGTCATACGCTTACAAGATCTCAAGGCCAAGCTAGGCGTACTAGGGATGCGATGGCAAATGAAAATAGTGTCTAAGATTTGTCGTTTTCTCAACTCTTGTGGCGCCATTCAGTACGTCGCTGCCAGACTCGACAACAAATTGTTCAAGGATTGCATCAGGTTCAACAAAGACCTTAGTGCGAAAGATTGGACAGCTTTTCTTGCTACAGGGAAACGTGCTGCCAAGCCCATGAAGACTGCTCTACTAGGCATGACCGAATGGGCAGAACGAGATGGACATGTTGATGTAACACGGGTTAATGGCTCTCGTCTGGAAAAGATTCCTCCATGGTCAATCGATAATCCGTTACCTCAGAAAATTGCCAAGGCAGCTAGATCATTTGGAGCAGTTGGCCTGACCAACCCTGAGATCTACGCTCTTACGTTAGGTCCGACCTTCAATCGATATGTATCCAGTATGACAACAAGCATGGCCACTTCTACCGTCCAGCCGTTGTGCTTGCAGCATATGCAACTCAAGAACGAACATATCAGATTAGGAAAAGTAGCATCGTATCGGTATTACATTCCTCAGCTTCCCCTGACAAGAGAGCCTGATTCCACCATTGATGCGAGACGAGATCAGTCAACATCATCGACATGTATGCACTGGTTTGAAGCCCCGTCATCCAAGCCTAAATTTTCTTCAATGAATACCACTATATCAAATATATGCGGGCTAGTCAAGACACGAGGCTCTACTTCTGGCGAATCAAAAAGGCGCGGGCGACCTAAAAAAGTTGAACTAGCTGATGTCCCTGAACCTACAACAAGACTCCATAGCCAGCCAACTGTAGAATTCGAAGATGGCATAACGTGTCAGAGAACGAATGGTTTTATCACTCTTCGCATTGCGAGCAAGGCGCTTCGGAGAGTGCTCGGTCAGGAGTCTATATGTCAAAATGACCAGAACTCAACACCACATACCGCCAAAAACCCATCCTTGACCATGGAAGCAGACAAATCGATGCACAATATACTAGATCAACCCGTTCCGGAAACGACCCCGTCGCGTAACGGTCGAAGAGGTCGTGCAAGGGGCCGTGGCCCGGCTCGTGGAAGAGGGCGAGGCAGGCCGCCACACGCAACCTCCGCTGAAAGCCCTTCATCACGACCTTGGGCTTGTGAAAAATGTGGAGGGAGTTGGAAGAATGATATTGGACTTAAATATCATCTCGAAAAGTCTCAGACACCGTGCAATCCTCAGTATACCCCTGGGGAACAAGGTTCGAGTCGTCGTGGCAGAAAATCCGCTTTTTTTGCTTCAAAAGCCCGCGAGTCAAGTAACGAAACCTGTATCGATGCATCTCCAGAGCCTTCACCTTCAATCCGAGGTTTGGCGGAAGTTGCAGAGAACAGCGGTGGTTTAGATTCAGTGACCGATCAGACGACAACCGTTGAAACCCATTCAACAAATCAATCCCTGTCGACAGCCACTCCTAGTCAAATGGGCCCTTCTTCTCATGTGGCGACAGTGAAGTCGTGGAAAAGGTCTTCCGCAGCTTTGGATCAGACTATTAAGTTCACGGCACCAAAGGCTGATCAGGGGCTACTCTTCCAGCCCTCAACAAGCCATCCGCGGCAGGTTCCCGTCTTACAGAATCCAAGCCGTCGCCCGAAGATTTCAGCAGAGATGATTGTACCGGCAGGACCAAAGGAGTTGTTCAATGTTACCAGGCCTTCCCCATCGGCCTCTACGGGCGCTGTGCCTCAGGCAAACCAGCCGCTCCTAGTTGGCATACCGGATACCGGCGATACAGCTGTTTCGTCAGGGGCACCAAGTGCAAACCATAGCTCTGGCTCCCCTCTTGCGAATAATGAATCCACGTCTGGTACAAAATCCAAGGCAAGAGGGACAAAGGCCGAGGACGACCAAGCTAACATACGCCACTACATTGAAAGATTGCTCCGTGATCAGAATGGGGTTCTTCTTGGCGGCAAGTTGCTTTGGGACCATATATTAGCAACATGGAATTCGGAGTATCCAGAGGAACCCGTGCCCAAAAGACATGAATGCCAGTCCGCTCTGAAAAATCTATTGAAAGAAGGCCTTGTTGTGGAGCACTGGCACATGTTCCGTGATTCTACCAGATCATTTTCTAAATGTCAACTCTTAACCTTACCTGGCATTGACGCCTTTTCTCCAGAGTCTCTTCAACTGCTTGATAAAGTCAAGAATGCACAGGCAGTCCAAGAATCCGGTGGGCATCATAAAGTAGCGGAGGACACAGAGCTTTCTGACAGCAAAGCGGGAGGGCGTAGCCGTAGGCTGCTGGCCAGAGAGGTAGCCGTATTGCACGCTCCAGTATACGCTGCCCAAATTGCTGCCAAAAAGGAGCAAGGACCGGAGACTCGAGAAAGAAAAAAACGGAGATTACCTGAACCGAGAGGACCGAGTGGTGACATAGAAACTCCTGGCTTCTACATCTCAAAAAAGCGCAAAAACATCAAATGGGCGCCCGCGAATTTGGAATCCGGCTCACCCTCAGAATTACCTGACTCCTCTCTTCTCCAGCCGAATACGTCAGCAATAACAGTACAATTCCTCCAGCCAAACAGGTTCCTAGAGCAAGATGCTCCAAATGACTGGTCTTCAGTGTCTGTTCGCTCAGAGAAACGTCAAACAAGCTCGGGAGAGAACGTCACAGAGCAGAAGGTACCAATTGTCAACTTTCAAACCAGAGAGCTGTTTAGCCCTTGCACAACTCTGGCAGGTCAGAATGGGGTTTGGGCAGCCCTAGATGCCCAATACTTTGAAACAATTGGCGGTAGCTTCTCCGTCCAAGGCTGGATGCCAAATACCAAATGGTTTGAGTGGGCATCTTTCAATAGGTTTATCGAGAAACGATATGCATTCTCAAACAGCACACAAGGCTTCACCGATGAGAATGATAGCAGCCATTACCAAAATTTCTTGAGGAGGATTCGAGCCTGCTCCGAGGTAGAAATGTCTTGGAGGATGCTTTTCGAAAAATCTGGCCCTGGGTCTGCTGGTCCTCACAACATATGGATTGACTTTCAAGGGGCGCCATCCAGTCTAAACTCACTATCATCCCATTACGAACTTACTTGGCCGGAAGACGAACTGTCAACCCAATACGGTGTCTCTTTTGAGACCGGTTATGCCTTATCATCTTCCAGCGATGATGAATTTGAAACTCCCGAAGATTCAGCTGTCGGAAACGCACGCGTTCATTCTGTAGCCGTTCGACCGTCAGAAAATATAACCTTCAAGGCGAAACGCGTGGCTCTTGCCACCCGCGCTTTGACGCCACTCTCCGTGTCGCAACATGGCACTGTTAGTAAAGATGAGGGTGGATCAGAGGATTACCCATTTGACGGAACGGACGACCTGATGGCTGCTTTCATCGCGGTGCGTACATTGATGGGTGGCGCAGATAAAGCCATTGACTGGGGCTTGCTCATGGTTATCTTCCCAAACGCCAAGCTAATGCACCTACGGAGATTTTGGGTTGAGGCGAGAAAAGAACAGGGCCCATTCATCGCCAATTTCACACGCGCGTTCCAAGAGAGGTTTATTACTGCACTTGAGCGGAATGAAATACCAATGATTGACTTCGATAAGCCTCAAGATTACGACTGGGCAAAACTGATTCAGTGGACTCTGCAAATACCTCGTGAAGAAGGGTTGGAAATTCCATCTTCCAGGAAATTATTCAACAGCCGTTTCAGCCTAGAGAGCATCAAACCCTCCGGAGAGGACTGGCGCGAGCGTTTCTTCCATACTCAAACCTCTATTTTTTCTCGTTTCGAAGCAGTCACCGCAGTTCCTGGCGTCTTCGCCATTGACAGAAACACGAACGCCTCAATAGACCTCGCACGATTCAAGGAAATGGAAATTGCAAGATCCTGGATCAAGTCGCTGTGCAGCATGGGAGACGGAAAATACACCGTGGAAGAAATCAGGGACAAATTCTTCACGTTGTCCCCTGGCAACAAAGAAAAGACCTCAGCACTTTTCAAGGAAGTCACTGAACTTTTAACAAGACAGAGGATTATATGTAAAAGTAGAAAACCACTTCTAGGCGGCCGGCCTTACAGACTCAACGAAGGATACGTGGCCGCACTGAACAAAATGGCCCAAAAGTCAAAGTATGACGAGGCTGCTGCTTTCAAGACAAAAATGGACAATATTTTCCGAAAGCAGGGAAAGATGCGAATACCATACACATTGAGTGACGGGGCCATGATGGCTCTCACAAATCTTAATGCATCTGGGAGAATAAAATTGGTCTCGACAAATCTACCTTACATTCCGTTCGGTTTCGAGCCTGGAAATTATGAAAGTCGAAAATACCCGAAGTCATATTATCACTTTGGACTGGAGGCCGTACCAGCAGAGATTTACCTATACAACGAACAGATTGACGTGCTGCGCGTGGCCTCCGAAAAGGGGCCACCAGCAGGAGATCCGAGCAAGGAATTACCCCAGTGGGTTGATTTCTTCGGCGAACCGAACAACCAACGTTGGTCAGAGATACTGGGCGCGTTTTGTTTCAGTCTGGCGACCCGAGGATCCATGGATACTGATGGCATCCGTAGTACCCTGAATCCGATTTTAGACGAGTTCGAAGTACAGCTCATAATTCGTTGGGGCAAGGAAACCGGAGTGCTGACTGACTTCTCAGACGGTGTAGGGTTGGTAGTGGGGGAATGGTGGTGGTTGACTGTACCATGGCTTCGTCGATGACGAGAGTAAAGGCTCACCAATCCTCAGTTTACATGGGCGAAGTGACCTTTTATGTAATTGTTGGAGCTGTATCATCTCGCGCGGGTTCTGGACCTCATCACTGAGAAAAGTTGCTTGTTTGAAACTATTTGTAGTAATGAATGACACCTTTCACCTATAAACTACCTATCTAGGCTTACGGCTTGATTACTATAGTTTGGATACCTTCTTACCCGAGTGCTCGAAATGAGGGCCTGTAAATATAGCATAATTCAAGAGGTTCCATAGTAATTTCATTTCTCTATGCAACTATGGTCATGCCTGGGCTACATAAACGGACTATGCTCGATACAAACACGAATACATAGGTATAAATGCGACCACCAAGGCAAAGCAACATATGGCGACAAGAAGAACGTACAGTACAACCCATACTCCTGATGCACACAGCACGACTATTGACCAGTAGTTCCTTTTCGAGACTCCACCAACGCCGACGCTGAATTTAGATGCCGAACAATACTTTAAGAAGAAGTGCAGCTAGAACAATCACTAAGGCCACGATAGCTCGGTCAATCCAGAGCGGGACCCCATCACCTCGTGCACCCATTGTGGCTGGCCGCCTTTGCCCCTGTTGTGATACTTGAGTGGATGTTCGGTCGATATCCCTTGATGAGGAGACACGGGACTCCGTCGGTCCGTCTGAAGACGACGATCCACCCTCCTCGGGTAACGAAGTTATTTGTGGTAGTTCAGCACTACCCCTATTGACAGGCACTGTCTGTACAAAGCCTTCCGCAAGTTCCGCAAAATCAGAGTCGGGATCCTCAGGGACCTGAGCCCGATCCAGAGCTCTCGATTCACGATCACGATCTTGATGCCTAGACTCCATTTCATCTCTCCAGCCCATACTTAATTCCATGGGCACTTTGACATCATTTTTGGTCGAGGAACTCGATTCTTCGGACTGTCTTTCAGTTTCCGATATGATATCTGCATTTGACCGGGCACATGTAGAACACCTGAAAGTGCGGGATTCACGAGCAAGGCGGCGGCGAACCTCCTCCGTTGTGTCTAATCCACCCAGTTGTCCGCGAGCGTCCGTTTCCATAAAGCTGCGAAGCCTGTGTGGGGGAAAGGAACTTGTCAGAATTACCGTATACCAATACAGAAATGGTGATACCCGAAGGTGATGAAACATACGCTACAATTGCAGTTCGGATGCCCCAAGCCGGCTGCCATGTCTCCTCGTGGTGGCCACTGATACTAAGGCAAATCTCGCGATTCGCTTCGAATCGGCCATTTGGTGTGGTGAATCGGAAACTCGGCGGCCGCAATGGATACGTGGGTGGAAGGACTATTCGGCCATGATAGATGCCCTCGCCATAAACAGAGTTTGGAGGACCGCGCAGAGTAAAGTGCCATTCGAACAGATCAGTCTCGAGAGGCTCGGCCGTATAATCAGGAGAAGGGGAGTTAGAGATCTCGGCGGCTTCGCGTACTTATCTCAGAAAATTGTTAGATCATCCGCGCATCACAGGAAATAAAATCTGGTCAGTCGCAAGAGAGCACACGTCACATAAGGCCTTGGGAGGCTCAGCACTTACGGATTCTTCGGATTGTTGGCGACTTGGAACTGACTTGAGGGGTAGAGTTATTCGTATTTGCCGCCATAGCTGCAACCGGAACACAAGATTAATGCACAGCGGGTGACGCAGCGTGTGTTGTCGGAAGGGAGAAGGAGGCTCTTCAGTTTCGCAGGGAGGCTAACAGGTCGCCCAACGTTGCCTGCAAAGTAGTGGCGAGCCGGGAGCACAGGTCAACACAGATTAAATTGAAATCCAATTATACTGAATAATCGCGACAATAGAGTATGTCGGTAGGTGTTGTAAAAACAACGGAGGTGTCTACCACCACGGACAAAGCTGAAGCTGGTGCACAATGCCAGGCTCACATGCCAACGTGTCCGAATCAGTTTGCCGGTGAGGGGCGGTCGCAGGGTTGGGCGTCTAACGGCTGAACGAATACACGAGTCTTATTACGCCAAGAAAAAATGTGATTATTAATAAGAATATGCTACTCGTGCCCGCCCCACTATTTTAGGCGTCTCGTTTCACTCACCACCTAAAGGTGGTGCTGGACAGCAAGACGAGCCACTTACTAAGACGGGCTACCTCATATAAAATATATATATAATAAATAAAAGAAAAATAAATAAAATATTTATAATATAATAATAAATTATATTAATTATATAAAATTATATTATATTATAAAATATTAAAATTATAATTTTATATATTATTATAACTTTAT